ATTCAAATTAAAGAAAATCTTTTAATTTGTAATATTCAAAAGGAATATGATTTTAATATAAATATTAAATCTATCAATGGAATTCACCTTTTTTTTCAACAAGATATATCAAGTGTCACCTGAGGTTGTGCATCGTAAGACCAGCGGGACAAGATTTTATGAAAAGGTGTCAACTAACGCACCAAACAAGAGTTTGTCTTGCCGTAGCCATGTTTGATATGCCGGATTAGAGGAGATTGTGTGATAGTTTCTGGTGGACAAGGATGCGAGCCATCAATGAATATGAAGAGGTCATAACTAATGAGGATGGATTCAATTTGGATTTTTTAGGAAAGTTAATTGGTGACGTTGAGTTTGATAGAATTATAGATTGTGAATATGGTGAGGGGATTGTTGGGGTCAAGAGGGTTGAAGAGGGAGTTGTCAATAGCCATTGGAATCGAAATCTAACCTCGTATGAGAGAGACAATTGATACCATGTAGGACGAGAGGAACAGAAAGAGATTTAGAAAAGAATGTTTTATTCATTCCATCCTTGGAACACAAAATTAACGTTTATATATACATCGAATTAACAACTATTTAACAACAATATATTTGAAATTTAAATAATAGATAACAAAGCCGATAATGCTGCAAAAGAAAAGAAAGAATCCCAGCAAAAAAATCACAGTGGTTAAATAATCTTATTATCTACCGATACCAACTTCAATAAACAATATTTTATTAAAAAATCTGAAAATTTAAAAAAAAAAACTTTATATACCTTTACGACGCCGGGGCCCTTGGGAACTACATCTCGGTGTACTTTCATGATCTTACTACAAAATCTGTGTTTCTTTTGGGATTTTTCTTTAATTCACTTTAAAATTAAATTTACGCTGAGCAAAATCGAACTCCCAAGAATATAAACACGACAATGAACGTTGAAATATATATAAACGTTTGGGGAAAGAGTTAGTGTAGTTTAATTTAAATTACTACTATATACTTAAATTCTATTTTCTATTTTTAATTAAATTATATCTTTTTATTTAAATACGATTTGTTTAAGTTTTTATTTATTGTTTCACTTAAATTATACCTTTTTATTTAAGTTATTATTTATTTAAGGTTCTATTCATTATTTACTTAAATTATATCTTTTTATTTTTAGGTTAAATTTCTTGTTTAGTATCTCTTTTATTTTTGTGTCTTTGTTTAATAACTTAGTTATTATTATTTTTATAAAATCATATATAACATATAAGGATTTTTTTTCTATTTTGATACTCCACGATTAGATTTAATAATTGATTTAACGAAAATGTTGATGCAATATTTATATAATAACAGCCTTAAATTGAACTCAATTTAAAATAATTTAATAAATCTTTAATATTAAAAAAACCTAAAATTTTGGTGTTCATTTTCACATGATATAACTATTAAATTATTAAATAGTTAATATATTATTAAATTATTAATAAATTAGTCAATTATTGAAAAAAAATGTTAAATTATTCACTTTGTTACTCCAGTTTAAGTTCGGACACTATACATGCATACGTGCGTATAGTAAATTCAATTTAGGTATGCTCATCTCATCCGTGTCTTGCATAGGGATGGGTATGAGTCAGGTTTTCAGTCAACCCGATCGACTTGAAAATTTTATATCTTTCACCTGAAACTCGATTCGATCCGAGTTTAAGTTAACTTTATCCGACCTGAAACCTGATTCGACTTTTGAGATTAAACTCAATTTCTACTCGACTTGACCTGAAATAATATAAAATTATTAATTTTATTTAATAAAATAAGGACTTAATTGAAAAAATATATATATAAAGGGGAATTATTACAATTATCTCTAAATATATGTATAATTATATTATTTTGAGTCAAATCGGATTGGGTTTTTTTCACTCTAAACTCGAATCCAACCTAACTTGAACTTATCCTCAAAAAAACCCGATCCGACCTAACTCGAACCCAAATTTTCTTTAAAAAACTAACCTAATAAAATCAAGTCGGGCTAGAAAACGTCAAATTTGGAATTCGTGTCCATCCTTACACAAATTATATATGACCATTACTGAGAAAATAGGAAAAAATAGTCGATGTGGTTTGATTTAAATTATTATTTATTTAAGGTTATATTCACTATTTCAGTTAAATCATATTTTTTTATTTTTAAAATAAATTACGTATTTGATATCTCAATTATTCTCGTGTCTTTGTTTGATTACTTAATTGTAATTCTTTATAAAATTATAATTAATATTATGTTTTGTTTTTATTTTAATACTCCATTGTAAAGTTTGACTGTTAAGTTCACAGAAATAATAATATGGCATAATATAATAATAAATTTAATCTCTAAAATCATATATTATATTAAATTAAACTTAATTCAAAATAATTTAATAAATCTTTAATATTTAACAATCCCAAAAGTTTGGTCTTCAATTTAGTTTGATATAATTACTAAATTATTAATATACTATTTAATTAATAAAATTTTTGTTCAATTGTTTAATTTGTTATATATATATATATATATATACACGCACACGTAAATTCAATTTGGATATGATCATATCTCATGTGTGTATTACACAAGTTATATATTAACGTTATTGAGAAATTAGTCCTCTTTTATTAATTAGATTATATTAATTATTTCGATTTTCTAAAATTTTAGGAAATTACATCATATTATTTCAATTAAAAATAAAAAATAATTACCCTAATAATAATTAGGAAATTAGATTTTCTTTAATTGGAAATGAGATAATAATGTACATTTTTCTTGATTTTTAAAATTTTAAGAAATGATAGTATTATATTATTTCAAATAAAAATAAAAAATAATTATCTTAATAAAAACTAGAGAATTAGTATCTTCTTCAATTGAAAATAAATAATAATGTGAGTTTCTTCTAAAAAAATTCTTTTATTAAACTTTAATGTTTTTACGAGAACGAGAGAATCTATATATTAAATTCTTAAATTTTTGATATTAAGGATAATGTATAATTGAAGGTACCGATTTCAGGCGCTGCATTGGTGTTAATTTTAGATCTAAATACGTAGACTAGCCATTTTTTTTAGTTTTTATTAAAATTCTTTAAATGGACGTTCTTCAGGTTTTCGAACTACCTAACTCAAAAGATCGATAGCGACTCCAACTCTTTTTTAAACATTTCTAATATTCTTAATTTCTGACTTCAAAAAATCATATTTATCAAAAAAAAGTTGTCATGACAGCTTGACGACTCTAATAAAAGACCGAACCCAAAAATTTTAATTTCTTAGAGAGTCTAGCCATTAAAATAATATACATTAAAAATATATACCCCATAATTATAAATTCTAATTTGACAAAAGATTCTCTCTAGACTCTAGTCTTCTATGAAACTCCTTCAATCTCTCGTTCATGATCTTCATGAACTCATCTATATTTTATATTTTTTTTCACAGAATTATTGTTAACGACTCTCCTTCTACGTGAAAAAAGATGAACTGTTAAATGCCACCCCAACAGTTTTTATCCAATCAATATTCTCCTAACCAACTTCAATAGAAAAGGAATAGTAAGGGTAGGGTTGATGGTGTAGGTATGCTCATTTTGACCTAAAAAGTGCTCCAAATATTAATGCAGTTTTAGTCCCTCAGGGAGTTGAATTATTACTTAATACTTATCCATGGCTCCCAACCCCACAACTTTTGTAGGTAAATTATAATTCAAGTATATATTATAAGGCTAAAATAAATTAAAGGTTACTGAATTATATTTAAATAGTTATTTTAATCACTAAACTTTTAATAACTACAAACTACTCACTAAATTTATCAAACTGTTATAAAATGGTTACTAGGTATTACAATAAGTGTAAAAGTTTGATAAATTCCATGACCATTTTGTAACAGTGATAAAACTTAATAATTATTTTTTAATACTTTGATAAAATTTAATGAATATTTTATAATAATTTGATAAATTCAATGATAAATTTTATAGCTTTTAAAAGTTTAATAACTTATGATGTATTTTATCCTAAAATCAATGAAATTAGTTTTGTCCCTGATTTTATGATTAAATTTTATTTGAAATCCCTATTAAATTTTATTTGAAATCCCTATTAATTTCAAATTTAATGAAACTAAGCTTTGTCCCACCTCAATTTTTGTCGTTAAAGTTATACTTTATATTCCTGATAATTTTATAATTATTAAAATTAAATTTTATCTCAATTTTTTCTACTTTATGCCCCGATCAGTTCTAACTACGATTCATATTTTTTTTCAAAAATAAAAGCATATTAAAACATAAACTTTAATTAAAAAATCAATTACATATACAAATATGTGTATAAATACTTGTCCCTTGGACATTCCATCATGGATCTGTCCATACAGCTACAAATTAGATGTCAAGGATCAAATATATCAGATTTTACTATGGGTGAATAAAAATATTTTTATGTAAAATTGATTAACAAATGATTATAGGTGGAGTGATGAAGATTTTGTATATGCATTCCATACATTTGTGTTCAAATCTTAAGAAATTATTTTTAGTTCTTTCTATTTAAATATTATATGAGCACAAACCAAGTGACTTCGATGGTAAAAGAATTGTTGTTATTCATTGAGATTTAGGGTTCGAGCACTAGGAATATCAAGGGTATGAGCATTCAACGTCAAATGGTTGAGAAATATTTTTAAATAGATATTACCTTAGATTAATAAAAATATATTATATGAAAGTAAGAAAAGATAAAACTGCCCTTATAATAATACTCATTCATCACAATTAAAATGTCACAGCTGGATGTTTGTTAAATTTTTTTAACTTTTATCGATAATAAATTTTATAAAATAAATTGCAAACAATATAAACTTTTACCATAAAGTTAAAATGTGACGATTTTATTGAAATTTGGGGATTAATATTATCCAATTAACAAGCGATACCAATTCCGTTTAATAAGCAAAGTGATAAAGCATAAGAAAAGTGAAACAAAACACACGAAAAATCTATTACAATATACACAATAGGATAATTGTATGTATCGCATGAAGATAACATCTCCGTTTCTCTCTTCTTTGTCAAACCTTATGAATAACAGCTGAATAAAATTACTAACAACAAAGGGCATAGTTTCCCTCTGTAGGGCTCTAATATTTGACTGATTACCAGTCCTGTTCCTACTCCCAATAACTGGCTCAACAATGGCGCTAACACCAACTTATTTAACGACAAACACGCACTTCCGAGTACTAATAAAGGCGATATTTAGGTTTTACAAACACTTTTCTAGGACAACTCCAGGCATATGAATATTTACAGGCCTTACCATGCAGCTCTCGGGCTTGGAAATGGAAAACGCCGAGTATAACAATATTAGTTCGAGAACAAAATATTCAACTTGTGTGCTAAATATGACTGCTTTGATGTCTGACAATGAAGCTTTTGAGCTTTTCTTTGTTTTGAGGTATCAAAGAAAGGCGGTTCCGATTTTGCCTGCAGAAAATTAGGATATGTCAAATACTGATTGAAGGGTTGAGCTAGACAAATGCAAGGGAAGGGATCAATTCGAAACCAAAATGACGTCAGTGTTTCTAAGAGGCTACCAGAAAATGTACTGATAAAAGTATCATGAAGTTCGATTTCGTGAATGGTCCTTTCTAACCGTAAGCTTCCTCTGACGTTTGTGCCCATTCAATTTTACCAAGCCAGACAAGGGGGATTTTTCCCTTACATATTTCAGGTCTTCACCATCGATCATGTACATATTTGCAGCTCCAGGCACAGTAAAGTCAGCAGGGTTTCTATTAATGCCACATTTATCATTCTCTGAACCACTTTTTGGATGGACAAGGGTACTCGAAGTACGGGTCTTCTGCTTATGTTTTGTTGCACTCTCCATTACATGAAGCTTCCTGGGAAACATAAATTCTGGAGTTCCAAGTGCCAATTTAGGCATGCTATGAACAGGAATAGATCCACAAGTATTTAAACCACTATTTGAAGATACAAATCTTTTAGATTTGTGGTTTTTATTCTGCCTTTGTGAGTCTGAGCATTTTTTCTTCTCTTTTTCTTTAGACTTGAGTGAAAAATGACCTGTAAATTCAGGTGCCTTGAAACTTTTGTCATGCTGGAATGATGGACCATCTGCTGCAGTAACTGACATACACTCACAAAAACTCCCAGGAAGGTGGCTTTTACCGTAGCAATCAAATGATGGATGCTTCATTGAAGTGGTTCTATATCCCCAAGACGGCATGCTTGAAAACTCTTTAGAGTGATCACCAGGAAGAAACGGAGTTTTCTTAACGAATCTTTGGTAACCGTCAACAGGTGCCCCCGACTGTAACCCTGCATCCATAAGGCTGAGTAAATGCATGGCTGGTATGATTTCATTAGAATACAGGTCTGAGGACCCCGTCCCATTATGTTTGCAAGGAAATGGGTAATCTGCATGTGTCCTTCTAAGGGCTTCAGAAACAAACCTCCTACAAGGCTTCTCATAGTTTGAATCCAAATTCAAGAAGTCCCGGTCATCATTTCGACTCATATTTCCCTTAGGTAGATTGCTGGGGCAATGTCTAAGCATGTCTAACTCTGCCAACTGATCTGCACACTTGTGAGGGACGCTGGGCATATAGGACATGCTATTTGGCATCATGGATGGCCATAGGAGAGCTGCTTCCTTATTCTGCTGTGGAGCACCCTGGCAGGTTTTACAAATTCCCAAGGCCCGCACATTAGCATGAGAGGAATTCTTCCCAACAATGTTTCCAATCCACTGGCAATTTTGAGCAATGTTTTGCTTGATGGAATTGGTGGCAGAAAGTTGGATTCCATCGAATGGCTTCTCTCCACATAGAGGAAAAGGCCTGAAGCCAGCAGGAGAATACCTTTGGTCCAATTGACTCATGCTGCACTGGTTTATGTCTATATGAGAGAAATAGTCAACTGACTTTTGTTTGCTAGATCCCACATTATCACCTCTTAAAAATTTGTCAATTCTTCCATTTTTAGCTCGAGGTTTCAGTTTATCGATGGTCTCTTTAAACAAGTCCATCTCTTCATTTTCATATGCTTTATTAAGATCCACCATCAGATGATTTTTGGCGTTACTTGTTTCTGGTAGCTGTTTATCGATTTCAGTATCAGGAAGACACCTTTCGTACTGATTCTTTGCCATGAGTTCAACAATTTCCATTATGTCATCTGCAGCTCCTTCCTCAGACGCCATTTCAACACACTTATCAAAATGTTCCTTAGCAACTGTCTCATGGTCCCGAAACTCCACAGTTCTCCCGTTGTTGCTTGTACCACTGAAATCCTGCAAAAAGAAACAGATGGCGAAAAAACATTCTATCAATTCAACAGAAATAACAAGGGAAAAACAGATGCACTAATTAGATGAATTATTCCTCATTACTTGGGAAATGTCCGCCATAACCAAGAATACTACTAAGTTTTCATGTCTAAGATTACATGGGCTTATATCAGAACCAGAAGAGTCATTAGTGTTCTAAATTATTTTAGAGATTTATATTTTGGTGCGAGGACTATGGATGGAAGCAAAATTAGTTTCAAAGTCGAAGGAACTAAAGATGATTTCATACCTAATCTTTGCAGATACTTATTCTGGGGAAACGCTTTAGGTTAGAGTAAGCATAAAGATAAAGCATCGTTTTCCGATGAAACCAAGCATGCATGTATATCAGAGTTCTCAATTATGTGAACCAGTTTTGTCAAAAAAGGAAAAGATATATGCACCTTTCGAAGTTTTATAACTGGTTCAAGAAAAAGGAATATTTTTGGCACCAAAGCAACAATAAAGTTTAATCTGAAAATTCCAGACACTTTGTTCTAAATATTCATCATAACCTGAATAATTCATGCATGTCAAAACTGAATGTAAAAACAAACTTGGTGACAGAGGAAGAAACCAAATTTGGGGAAAACGTTTTGCGAATATATTCAGTTTTTCATTTTAGATGCCAGCTCAGCTACTTTAGTAGCAGAAGAAAAGCCCATACCATTAGCTGAATCGAAGAACTACCAACTTCAGCAGGAGATCTGTCCTTCTGCATCTCATTCAGGAACGGTATTTTGTACGTGGTACGATTACTGTTGAGATCAACATGCATTCCCTTCCAAACGTTGACATCAGCTTGAGAAACATGATTCATGTTTAGATCTTTCCCCCCAGTATCGTATTCACTGAGAACATGCCCTTGTCCATATCTGATTGTAGTGCTATATTTTGCATCATATCTTTTAGCAGACAAGGAATTATTAGGAGAAAATTGCAGTCCTTGATTAGCTGGTGTATCCTGTGTTGCTTCAAGCAGGACAGCTACATTCTCAGTCTGTCTTATTTCAACATCTTTCCTCGAAATCGGACCTTCTCTGAGATTGCCATTGTTCCAAGGAACTCTAGAAGTTTGACAATCATGATCTTGATGCATCTTGCTCTTTTTCTTCAACAGATTAGATTTTTTCTCTGCCTTCAGGGCAGATTCAGGAAAGGGATTTAACCCACCGCCTGTATATACATCATTTGATTTGTACAAAATAATATCAGAGGCATCATTCTTAGTGGTATCTCCAGGGGGCTTTTTCTGTCTTTCCTTCTGCAAATTTTCTCGAGACAGGTGCAAGGATGAACATTCATCAAAATTCTGGGTCTTTTTACTTTTCTTCTTTCCTAGAATAGGACCTTTATCTACTTTAGCATTAACCAAACTGCTCTTTGATGGAGCCTGTGAGCTGCTTCTGTTAATCGAACCTTCTGAATCAGAACTTGTGATTCCATCATCACTTTCTGCATCTCCGTTGATGGTCTTAAGGTTTTTATGCTCATTATTTGGAGAGCACATAAATTCTATAGGAACCCATTCTTCATCCTGTGGTGTCTTTCTTTTCTTTCTACGAGCCAAACTGCTTGTAACACTTCCGTGGAAATTAACATGACCTTGGGAAGTAGATATTGAATCCATGCCTATAGATGCATTAGGAATGGTACTGGAAGGAGAATCCTCAGTACTCGTGAGATTAGTTTTTCCATCGTCGTTTGTACCCAACAGTTCAGTTACCAGACGCACCTTATGGTTTTTTCTTCGATGCAAGCTGCCAGACACAGTTCCAGGCAATACCTCATCACTTTCAGATGATGCATAACCACGATCACCTAATTCCAATGAAGGATGTTCATCTGTATGATTCTTAATAGCATTGGGAACCCTGTGAGCCATACTCGCTATCCCATGGGATCCAGAACATCTCACCAACTCCATCTGTTGATCACAGGCAGATTTTCCCATTTCACATGTTTCAGTGGCATCCTTAACTGTGCACTCCACATTTGATTCAAGAATCTTGACACCAGCAACTTCATTATCTTTTAAATCAGGATTACAAAGTTGCAGAGAAGCAACTGTTGCAGAAATCAGAAGTGTTATGGCAGCAAATGCAGTTCCAATTTCAGTTGCTATGCGGGAAAATGCTTAAGCTTATTTAGATAGCCTTTTACTCATGGTAACGTACCTTTTTCATCAGAACCAAGTGTTTTCCACATAAGGCTAGAAACTTCTATTCCGGCATAATTTGAAATATGGATTTCCTTATTATTGTTATTCTCTAAGATATCTGCTTTCCCTGGGAAAAGAATTAAATAAAATTAATGTTCTAATTTAGTGGTAATAATAGAAGAATTGAGCTAAAACAGAAATGTACCTACAGCCGGTATATCTGCATTTCCCGCTTTCTTTTCACTTTTCTCACTAACCAAAGGATGACAGGTACTGCTATTAATATTCACACAAGCAGCATCACCAGAATTTCTAGAGTCAATATAAATCTTTCCAGTCTGCTGCAAATCTGATGAACATATCAAAGCATCCCCACGGGATGGCACATGGGAACAAGAGCCAAAGGATTTCAATTTGCTACTGTTATTAGTAACAATTCTTTCTTCGTTTATAATGCTTTCGGTCCCAGTTTCCTGCAGACAGTGCTGGCAACACCACCATCTGAACTTCGGAACAAGTAAAGGAGGAAGCTTACAGATTTGTTCTTCAAAAATATTCTGGTCACCATCTAATGCAAACGGCCAACTTTTCTTCCAGTCTTTTTTGCGCATCTCAGATGCATATCCACTGCATTTAAATCAAAGGGAATTTATGAGGTTAACTTCCAACATGACCACTAATGCGCCACAAAGAACTATACATCTGCAAAAGCTATACATATCAAATCTTTCAATAAGTTTCCTTCAATTAAAAACTTTAGCCCCTTCGTTAGATATCATTACATCAATTTGATGTTTAGTATGTCGTCATATTGTTGGAGATATGGTCTCAGCAAAACTATAACTAGAATATCCAAAACAGTTTGATAGTTTGATTCATTCCCGAAAGTGTGGAAAAATTCATCACGCGCACACAGAAACGAGCATGCTATGAAGTTACTGAGGAAGAACAAACAATAGAAAGAAAAAAACAAGTTAATTAATTCTTTCAACAATTCTCGTATATCTCTTCCACTAAGGAGAATACATCTCTTAAAATTCATATACTTACTGTGTATAGCTCCCACACTCAAACAACAGCCACCGTAAACCCATTTTCAACAACAATGGTAGTAAAAAGAGAAGTTGAGAAAGTGCAGCAAATATACAAGAGCACTGATTGCTAAGGATCACAGCTTACCGGATAGAAAAATATTCACACTTCCTAGTATCAATGTCATCAATAGCATTGATGAGATCTATGGATATTGAGTCAATCTTTGTGTGTGATTCCACAGACTTGGAAACTAGATTAGAACTGCAACTGTGATGAGTTCCCTTGATCCCAGCAGATGCCTCCATGCTATATATGACTAATTAATTGATGAAACCTATACACAACAATTAGATATGTCATGTGCACTGTAAGCTATGTAATCGACAAGCATGAAGCACTAGGATATTAAGCACACAATTCATAATTCCTTGGAAATTCAAGATGAAATAACAGTCGTATTGTAAAATGGATCCACTGAAAAGATGAGAAGCAGTAAAGGCCCTATATATGGTAATTTATTACATAAAATAATAACTTAGCAGCAGACGCGTGAGTACTTGAAAGGGAACAAAATTGGAAACCCTAGTTCCTAGTGAAATCAAACATAAATATGTTTGCAGTTACTAGATTAATGTATTAACAACATCCTATTAGATTATAAACCAAAACTCATCCATTTATAACACAAAGTAAATCATCAAATAATAACCAACATGTTAGGGTTTTATCAGATAACACCAACTAAAGTTTGAGATGATGATAACAGCTTCGTTTATCCCCTCTATATCAAAGCAAAAAACAATCAACTTCAAAAATCACCTCGAAGTCTTCGAGTTTGATGTTAAAATAACCCACATCAATCCATGAAATGAAAATTTTATCTAGGGTTTCAAAGGCATCAAATTCACGAGACAGTGAACAGTGAACATCATCTCTACCACCGGAAAACCGATGCAAGAATACACATAAAATATCCCAAAAAAGTGAGAATATTAACCCATTAAGCAAAACCCAGATGCTAAAATGACAATAAAAGGCTAAACTTAACGTGCTAAACACAGTAAACTAACCCCAGATAACTGAAATAAAAAAGAAAAGCTCCAGCTCAGCTCAGCTCAACCACATATTAATAATTCAAAGAAACGAAAAATCAAAAACAAAAGAAACCCAGAGCTTGAAATTGTAATTAGATCAGAAGATAAAAATACCTTATTTATCTGTGTTAGGTACCTGCTAAGAAAATCCAAAACCAACCCAGCTTCGATTCTTCACGGCCAGTCGAGAAAACGGTATCAAAAGAAAGAACATTGATCGAGTAAGAAGAATATCAGATCTTTACGGGGAGATTGAAGCTCGTCGTATATAATTTGAGTGCGAAGTTTTGAGAAACCCTAGCTGAACAAAGAAGAGGTTTTTCGATTATTTTAGAGAGAGAAATATAGAGGAATAGATACATAAGAGTATTTGTCTTTTGTCCTTGAAAGGAGGAGGGTCTGCTGTAGTTGTAATAAAAATCATCTGTAAATATATTATTTTATTTAGAGTAAAATACATAAAGGTCAGTGATTTGTTCAGAAATAATCTTTTTAACCAGTAAACTTTTAAATCCTATAAAATAATTATTAAATTTATGAAACTATTACAAAATAGTCTCTTTGTATTTTAAAAATCATCCGAAAATATATGTAGTTAATGTTATTTATTATTTAATTTGATTTAGGGTAAAATATATCAGAGGCCATTAAATTATACTAAAATGATCTTTTTTAACTAATGAACTTTCAATTCTTATAAAACAGTCATTAAATTTATCAAAATATTATAAAATGGTTATCATATATTCCAAAAAATATATGGAAATATATTGGTTTTTATTTTATTTTATATAGGGTAAAATATATCAGATCTAATTAAAATATATTAAAATAATATTTTTTACTAGTAAACTTTCAAATCTTACAAAACAGTCATTTAATTTATCAAAAAAAATTACAAAATGATCCCTTTATATCATAAAATAGAAATAAATTTTGATGATTTTAAGGACCATTTTTTAATAATTATGTAATTTTAATTACTATTTTGTTACAACTAAATAATATGTAATGATTATTTTATAATTTTTTGGAAAGTTTACTAATCATTTTGTATCATTTGAAAGTTAGCTGGCCATTAAAATTATTCTGTAATAGTTAAGTGATGTATATTGTAATTTATCCTTTATTTTATTTTAGAGAGAGAGAGTTAAGGTGAAAAAATAAATGATAGGAAAAGAACCAATGGATTTAACCCACGTGGAAGTGGGTTCGGTTCTTATGGCGTTTCCATTATGGGTGTTGCCCTAGATTGGAAAAGTAAAAAAAAACGCACTACTTCAACGCGTTTGTTGCACGCTCCTGTTCCTCCGCATTAATTCCTTTTTTTTTTAATATTCACCGTCTTATATGCGGTCTCAAAGATGCTCTTCGCACATAAACAACCTTTGATTGGAGCGTCCATGGAAGGGCGTGGAGTTAGTTTGAGATTAAAACCCTAAGGTTTAATGGCATTTTTAAGTATGTTTAACCCTAATTATCCCATTGATATTGCGTATAGTGGTGGTTTAAAAAATATTTTTTAGAATTGACATATATATTAATAATAAAAAATTTCTTAATAAGACAAGTAAAAATAAAAATTTAAAGTGGATATTTTCAGTAAAATAGACAATAAATATTAAAAAAAAATATATTTTTAGTGTGAACACTAAAAATTAAGTACATCAGCCATTGGAGCGTATGGTGTGGATCACATTCATTTGGGTTTGGGACATATTAATATTACCTTCATTTCGATCTTTGAATATAGAATATTTGAAGTGCATTTTTTTATCTTTAAACATATTAACAACAGAATGTACCAAAATTATGTACTTACATTGATTTCGTTTGTAAAATTTTAACATTTTATTAGCGCTGAATGATTCTCGTGTATGTAAATTGTTTATATTCTAAAAGGAATATTTATTTTTATTCTACCCTTAAGTGTGACTCTCACGTTTCACCTAAATTGTAGTAGGCTTTAAACCTACAATCTCCTCATTACAATAAATTCTTTCATTTATCCATATATATATTGTTTCACCAAATGGTAGATTAATTACTTGAATATTGGGGTAAAGTTGAATAAAGTCGTAAAATAGAATGAAATTAGGGTAGATTGGGGTTTGAGGTAATAGATAGAAGATGAAATTTTAAAAAAGATAAAATATATTAGAGGTTAGTAAATTACGTTCAAATAATCGTTTTGATTATTAAACTTTTAAGTGGTCATTAAATTTATTGAAGTGTGATAAAATGATCAATGCGACATTATAATAAGTGTAAAAGTTTGATAACATTTGTAACATTTTAGTAAAGTTAATAATTATTTTATAACTTTTAAAAAGTTTAATAATCAAAATAATTGGTTAAGAATTGCCCAATGACTTATAGTTGTACTTTACCCGTTTTAAAATATTAAAAAGAAAGACGCCCCATTAAAAATAAGTTATAATTAATCTCATTTTTGTTAATTATGACTTGTTGGGACTGACTTTTTAAATTTAAAAAAGTTGAAATCTTTACTTATAATCAAGTATATTATTCCGCTTTCTTCCTCTTCGTCTCTTTTTTTATATAGTTTACGTGAATTTTATTGATTAATTTAATTTTTTTTAATTTTGTTTAATCAGTTGTGGCATCTGTTTTAATGTAGTTTATGATCCCCTGTTATCTTATTTTCTTTTCTTTTGTAATTTTTAATAAGAATAACTATGTCTTTGTGTCATGTTCTCTGTTTTTTTGACACATTTATATCGGCCTTCGTGACATGTTTTTCTCTGCCTTTTGGAAGCTTATTATATTTTGCTGTTGTTTACGGTTTTTTGTCGTTATTTTTTGTTTATCTTTTTTCTCACGGTTGGATTTGACATTGTCACGACTAATCAAAATGACACTTATTTGTTATCATAATGATATTCCCTGCTTTGGACCCTCAGATTATTTGGATACACGTTTTGCGTTGGTAGATAGCTTTCTCACGTCGTTTGACTTTGATTTGTATTTTTCGGTGGTCTTTTAGTAGCTTCATCTCTTATGTGGTTCGATTACTGATGCAGTCAGATTTGTTTGTATCTTTATTTTATTCGAGTATTTGGTTAGGTTTTTTAACATTTTCCTTCTTTGGTCCTTATGTGATCTAAGTGGGTAGTTTGTAAGAAAATGTCATAATTATATTTTAGATTTACGATTATGCTTGTAAATCTTCATTGTAATTTTGGATTTTTTCTATTTTTAATAAAACTAGTGACTTTCTATAAAAAAAATAAATATATTAAAATTTTGTTGATTTCCCCCCATTTTTTTCCAAATTAAAAGAAATCATTGATTCCATTTGGAAAGAAAGTGTGTCCAAAAATTCACATGTTACGCATACATCTTTCCTCATATATCAAATGTTAGTTGCTTATTGGTTTTATTGAATGTGTGAATTTGATTTTAGGATAAAAATATATCGTATGCCATTTAATTATTAATAAAATTAAAAATTGATCTCTAAATTTTAAAGATTTATAAATGGGTCACCCAATTAATCGGTTTTTAAAAACACGTCACTCTATCGTTAAAAATGAGATGTTAACTTTTTAGTTATAATCAAACCACTCTATTTAATCGGTTATTACAATCAGGTTACTCAATTTACCGATTTTTATAACCATGACACACAATTATAAATTGAAAAGTTTCAATGTATGTTGCAACTTAACAAAAGAAACAAAAAATAAAACGAGTAAGATATTTGGTTCAATGGTGTGGTGGCACAGCTAGCTAGCACATGTTTCCCAACTAGAAAAGTGCAAGGCTAGCTTATTTAAGAGAAACCATGTTAATATGATTTGGATCCACAAAATCATATCAACCATACGTTTCTTCCTCCATCAAATTTATAATATTTAACAAATCCTCTTCATTTAATGGTAAATGCTTTATAAATGGGTGTTTTGAGTTCGTCAAGCTATATTCTTAACCTTTAAAATTTCGGATATTTTTATAGAGGGGTAAAAAAAATTTTGTTTAAGAATTTAAAGACTAGAAATAGTGATAAAGGAGCCATGGGTGGATGCCATTGACGAATGTGTGGATTTTGGGGACATAAAAATGTGTTGAATTGGGTCTAATGACTGAAACAAAGAAAGGGATGCATCATTCATCCTTTCCCTGTGTAGAGGGCCCTCCGTTTATAATGTTTTCTTCCATTACACCCTACACCCATGGTCTCAATCAGAGATGAATCAGAGGCCAATATACATGTATTTTATGTATTTTAAGGTGGGACCGTGAAATTTGAATTTATTTATAGTAGTTATTTATTTTATTATGATATTTACTTTAAAATTTTATGTGTGTTTAACTCATTTAAAATCTTTTACACTTAAAATTGAATCGAATGAATCTTCTCTAAATTTGTGTTAGATCAAATGAGAATAAGAAAATATTATATTCAAATTAAGTTTGGATATATCGAAAACTAGACTAAATCTGACTCATTATTATATCTAGACCTAATACAAAATTATACAGTCAAAAATAAAATAAAACTCAAAAGAAGTGTTCTTTCTATGACCCGAGTTCCCAAATCATAGCTGCCTTTCCCAGACAACAGCCAAGTTTGACTCAGAAGAAGGCACAACAGAAAGATATTTTGGTGAATCTAAGAGATTCTTTTCTGCAGAAACTTTGGATAAAAATCACACAAAACCCTGCAAAAATGCTCTTGATTTAAAAGCCGTAAAATTCAACTCAATTTAAAAAAAAATCAAATTTTTTGAATTGACTTGATATTAAAAACTTGAGTTTGACTCATGATTTTACAAATTTGATTTAATTAAAAAAATCAAATAAAGTTTAAATTATAAAATAAATGTCGTTAACTTAATTAACTTGAAACATTTTTATATCGCTTCCATCGGTTACTCAGCCCTAATAAGATGAGCTAGAAGATTAGGTGATACATGAAGGGAAATAGCAGAGCTTGTAAGGTAATCATAAAACCCAGAACTTTCTTCTGCGCTCAAGAACAGTTTATTTCTCTCAAATATTACAATTAAATAAATAAATATCCAAAAATAACGGTATTATGTTTGTATGTATATGTATATACGTGAGTGTAGTCTATATATATACACTCATTTTTATACCAAATCTCTTGTATAACGCGTACAGTGCAGGTATAAGATCTAGGTATAGTTTTGACTAAACCAGAAAGCTCAGTTAATAGCTTTCTGCCAATTCCAGCGAGATTTGTCTTTTTTTTCCCTGCATACACGCGTCCGTACAATATGTTTTTGTGATTAATAATACTAATATTTTCAGTAATTTTGGGTTTTCCTTTATGAAATTTGGTTAAATTCAAGTACTATTTTTTATTATTTTATCTGTA